CTGGAATTAGTGGACTGTACCCTTACGTCTTCTGTCTGCGAGTTGCACCTCTTGAGGGCAGCAACATTTTTTTTGCTTCCGCGCAGTATCACATCTGTAAGTAGATTGTCAGCGATCAGGAGCATCATGATAACATCAGAAAGTCTTCTCTTTTCACTTATATTTCCCTGACGGTGCAAAATCGATAACGTGACGAGAGGTGCCGCAAGTTCGGAACGATATCGAAACACCGCGTAGCGTTGTTCGTATGGATACTTGCAAGTACTCTGTTCGCCCAAGCGAAGGTTTGCAGAATTTCTACGAATCCTCGTCGGGTACATTGGCTTGTGACCGGGGGGGTGCTTCCTGTTACAGGCATTTCCTTTCTTCCCAAAGCGTAAATGTAGCTTGACCCCTCAGAAAGGCCACAAAGAATACATGACAAAAGTCTGAATTTGAGATCCCCCAACTTAATTTTTGGCCACAAAGTTTGGTTTTGGATCTGTCGCATCATGACCATGACTTTAAGTTTGGTATTGCCATTACAACTTGCAGAAGGCAACTGTTAGATCGAAATCCACCGATCAATAAATCAGTGAATCTGCCCGTCTCTCTACCGCAGATTTCAAAGAGAAAGCCATATCAACTCAATGGAATTGGTCATCCGTTTCAAAGAGCTCGACATTTCGCTGAAGCAGAACAAGCACAAGACCAATGTTATCAAAATAATTTACAGTTTATTACAACTTCAGCGAGATTGAGGTTTCACTGGAAATTTGTACTTCTCAGCATGCTAGCTTTATGTCAAACTTAATTGTAACTTTATCACCGTATAGCTTACGGATGGTTTATGACAGTAGCATGGATTTATATATCAAAGCAAAGAAAACCAAAAAGCTAATAACTTCTAAACAGTTTTAAGTACTTTTGGAAAAACTAAACATTAAAGTGGTTTATCGGACAAATGTCAAGAGTGAAAAACGAATATTACCTTTCCACTCCAGTTCTGTAATTCCATAACAATCAAAGGTGCACGGAGAACGATAAACCTTGGCGCGATAGTATAATTATTACAGGTTTTTAAAATTGTTTTTCAAAAGAAACACTGTCAACAAAGCTGAAAACTTCACAAGTTAAATGGGTTATAGTTGTGTTTCAGTGGCTCATGCTCCTGTCAGCGCGGAAGCAACAATTGACGGCTTAAACAAAAGTGGCATTATGTCAGAGTTTTATATCGTCCAAGGGATTTTGGGTAGGCCTACTTGTGTCGTGTGCGGCAAAACTTCAGACGGGTGGCATATATCTTCCGTGATGTGAACAACAGCTTAGACAAACGTGATAAAATTGCATACAAAATAATACTTTCATGATGAATACCATCACTGGAAAACAATGATTGAAACACCAATACGAGAAGAATATGAAATCGATTCCAAATCACTAATAAAATACCACTTGGAGTTGATATTTTCCCACAGATTTTTGTTGAGAACCATTTTCTTTCACATGAAAACAATGTTATACGACAGCTTTATGTTTATCAACCTCATAATGACCTTGACAACTTGGAAGGAGCTAGAATATCCGTATGAGTACACCTCGAACTTCGTGGATTATAGAAATAATTGTAACTTATAAAAAAATCATACTTGCTTATTGCCTTTTACTTCAGTTATAACAACTGTAATTAGTCTACAATTGTACCAACATATCTTGTTTACTTCAACTGCTACAGAATAGCCGGGCAGTTGGCCAGCATGTTGCCCTTGATTAGGCACAACCGATTTTTTACTTCTTTAAAATTTCAATAAATATTCTTCAAAATTTCAGGTTTACAGCAAAATATATACAAATATACTTTGGCACGATCATTCATGTATTACGTGATATAAAATTATAATACAAGACTACAGTAATGTACACGTTTTGGATTCCCTGTGATTTGAAATCCTGTTGCGCATGCGCCTGGGGCTAGACGTTGCGCCTGAGCTGCGTGACGACCTTGCGCCCTCGCCGTCCACTGGTCTTTTCGTCTGGGCTTGCGACAGCTCCTTGTACACTGGACACTTGGGCCTGTCATCACTTGTTGGTTCACTGGAACTGGAGGCTAGTGGATAAGCACAACAGGGCTTCAGGGTTAACTGCTTAACCAAGGAGATCGCGTATCTTTAGACCCTGGACCGTCCCTTGCCTAATTTTTATTTTTTTAAAAAAAGGAATTGGCCAGCATGTATTTGCATTCCTCATGAGCACACCGGTCAACTGAACACTGAGTTTCGCTGTGATAGTCTTTTACAGTGCACAGCCTCACAGATGGCTGGCCTCAGAGTGTGGAAGTTTTCGCAGGAACAGCATTGTTTGATTTTCATAAAATTTGAGTCGAAATGACAGTAAGATATTATTACAAAAACTCATGAAGCCTCGGCACGAAAACTACACTGTAGCTGTTCCTGGCTCTTTTAGCAGGGGCGCGTCCGGGGAGTTTTTCGTGGGGGGGGAGGGTGCCAAACCCGCAAATTTTTTTAAAGTCTAATTTTTGCGAACAGACTGACACACGTAATGCATTACATAGACTATTACATGATATCATCTTTTACAATTAATTGCTAGAATAAGTTATTTATTCTTTGGCGTCAGAACAGGGGGTTTTGACCACCTGGATCTCCACCTTTTTATGGAGTTGATGCAAATTTATGGATTAATCCAAGTCTGTTGTTTTGTGCATGCAGTAACACATCGAACACACACTGGTTTCCTGTAGGATTGTTTACACTTGCAGCGGAAAAACGCGTGCAATTAGGCGATCAACTGCAGTATTTAAAAAACGCGAACAATATTCAATACCGGTGTTGCGGTCTCCCCGTCTCAGCCGTCCCCCTTACCAAATATGGTAAAAATACATCATGTCATCTCTGCGCACAACAATGGAAAGTAGTCCGTTTAAATGTCCGGCTACGTCGAGGGGACCGCTGAGACCGCCACACCGGGCTGAGACTGCGCCCAGTATATCACTCCTCGTTAAGGCCTTCTGTTGCCACTTGTCAGCCCAAATCATGGGTCAGAATTTAATCTACTCTTGGAAGGAAAACCAATGTATAGACAGGGGACCTGCTCAATCCCATACCTGAGGTCCCAGAAGAACTCTTGGCGGTCGATGAGCGTTGACCTGTTCTGTACGGAGTGCGGTTCTTATCGTTATCAGGATAGTACATGGGGACGACTTTCGTGTCATCGCTTACTTTCGGCCCAAATCGGTCAACTGACAGGCAGTAAAAACAAGAATATTAATTTCCAACAGAGAATGTTGGATGTTCATACGTGGAAGACAGTGACGGTGGGGTAAACCCAGACGAGGGTTGTTTGGGGTGGAGTCTGTAAATCTGAGCTTTTTTTAGGCCAAAACTTTATACCGGCCTGCGTAAGTTGAAAAAATTATCATAATGTACTATCAGCAAGCTTCCGACGGTGCGGCATTTTGCTGTGGAAGCCTCCTTGTCTAATAGAAATATCAATTATGCAATTCAATGTATACCGTTACCGTCACGTTTTTGATCTCTGATACTTCTGGTTATAAACAAACTATTTTAAAATTCAGCATCAAGTGACCACTTCCTAATGTTTACAGAAATCAGATCACATTATTTACCACCATGAATTTTGCAAAATAAGTATCGGTTTGAAGAACGCGTTCAAATACTCTTAACAATAAAAACGTTTGTTGCAGGAAAACAAGATTGTGATTGGCTGTACTTTCGGTCTAATTTCCCTTTATGCGCGATAATTGTTGCATGTATCACAACAAAAGTTGGGCATTCAAAAAATCTCGATTTGAACCAAAACATAGTAGGTCTGCGCATACCTCCGACATAGCGACCAACAAGTAAGGACGGCGTGTCTGGTGGCGTTTTCGTCTTATCCGTCTTCTCTGGGGTCGATCCTCTGCTGGAGTCAGCCTCGTTCCCTCGGTAGGTGCCCAAGATCTCCTCCATGGTGGCGCTGTCGTTGCCCTCCAAGAAGTAGGTATTCATGAGCCCCTTGCCTTTGATCACGATCTCTCCCCGATTCTCAAAGCGGAAGGCCTTGTCGCTCAGACAACTGTTGGGGGACAATCAGTGATATGTGTGGGTTCGGTTGGAGCCGAGTTTTGTTTCTTCCCATCGCTCTTAGGCTCTGGGATTGGCCAATTTTTTCAGGCTGCATATTAATTTCTTGGAACTTTCAATTTGCTCGAACAATAATATTAGTCAACGTTTTAATGTGCGCCCCGACGGCTGTCCACATCAATGTGTGCGCAATGGTTGGGATTAAGTAACCTCACAAGGCTTTGCCACTCCTGTATGGACGTAATTCTGTAAATGTCCTTACGAGCGCATCGTATAAGGGATGTGGGGACGTGCAAAGAGCTAGTTTGCTTGCAATGCGAAACATTGAAGATACAGTGACGCAACTAGAGTTTAAAACGGAAGTGCAATTGTTTTGCAATGGCCATTTGCGTACCATGGGGCATTACTCCCTTTAACACATTTCTGGACGCGTGCTTGCCTCCCAATTTCTTCCCTAAATAACTAACAGTTCCATCGTTTACTTCAAGGGCTCGTGAGCGCTTTTGTGGTTTTGTTGTAAGACTAATAGCTGAGACTATTGACGGTTGGATCGCACATTAAATTGTAATGCTGAAACGTTACCATTACGCTTTCAAAGCTAGCGCGTGGTGGCGCTGACTTTTGAATTCCCTTATTTTCAGTTTTCTTTTCAGCAACCGAATTGAGCTTCTGGCGTCACATAACCTCGTTGAAGTTTTTCTTTTCGGCATGACAGATTCCCATTTTGTCACTTATATTTTTCACTGAACACCACCGAGGCTCATTTTTAAATTGTCACACCGGCAACCATGCAAAAAAGTGAGCCTCAATTTTGGATTTGTCTAATAAATGTGCCAGTTACTCCAACCACCGTCGTTTGTGTGTAATGCTTCATTATTAAGAATGTACCTATAAGCGCTCGAGCTGATGTGAATTTTGTTAGGAACTCCGTGGCTCTCCATCCTAGACGCCGTGTTGACGGTGTCCCCGAAAAGACAGTAGCGAGGCATCTTTTCGCCTACAACCCCCGCCACCGCCGGTCCCGAGTGGATACCAATTCTTATCTGGAAACAGATATCGAAAGTGGACTCAGAAACACAGCAGCAGAAGCCTTGTCAGATTGCATGACTTGAGGCTTTGCAGATCTACTAAGCCAGGTCTCTTGAAACACATATCAAATTACCAAAGAAATGAGTCAGCGAAAAGGTGAGATCTGGAGGGATTACAAAAGAGTGCTGTCATTGCCTGCCCGTTTTGGAACAAAAACCTGATACCTTGGTAATCTTTGGTATTAAATACTGACCCCAATCGGTTCCCGCGAGACAGGTGATATGACTTCGCTTGATAACACCATCATCCCTAGGGCCATATTGGCCACGCGTTCTGCGTGGGTTGTGATAGGTATGGGCAGTCCCCCGACGACCATGTACGCGTCGCCTATGGTTTCGACCTGCAAAATGAAGACGGTATTCATCCTGGTTTAAAATTGTAAGCTGCTTCACTGCATACGTACTGAAATGAACTGAGCAATAATAATGCTCATTATGAATGGTAACTCGCACAGACAAGTGAAGAAATGACCTGAAAAGCACCTTAACTTTGTTATCGTCTGTGAGCAAAGAGGGAGAGATAGAGCGCAGAAAAACTACAAGAATGTTTGTCAAAAACAAGTGGTATGCAGGGTTACAGGCTTATGGTCGGTCACCGCATAGGACGTCAATGGAGAAAAAGTCATTGGTAAAGAAAAATATTCAGCGCCTCCAAGCACTTGAAAAAGGTCTATTTCAAATAGCCATAGCACGATCCCTCTCCCGGTTTTTCCAAAGTATCACTGGAAGAATGTGGTTTTTTTGCAATAGAAAACAAACCAACGTATAATTTCTTTCACTTGCCATACTTGTATTTAATTTGGTATTCATATCTATATATGAAAATGTATTTAACTATAAATCGGGATATTAACAGTGTATGAACGCGGGAGCATTAAACAACTGACACCAGTCCATGAAAATTACGTTTTCATGTATGATCTTTTTACATGAATGGCTGTACTGCCAAAATATTCAGAGCAAATATGTAAGATATATAAATATATAAGATAATGTTGACTACGAGCTCTGATTATGATATTTGCACTCAGAGCTTGCCTAATAACTCTGTTTATATAGAGACGCCCTTAGTAGTAAAAAATTCAAAGGGCATAAGTTATTGGACAATATAAAATGCCACTGCTGTTCGGGTGAGCTCTTCTTAAGAGAGAATGCAGTTTTTGTGCGGATTCAATTATAATCTAGTCCTGCACACTCTATGACGTAGCCAAAGTACTCAGGATGTCGTGAGCTAATTAGGGCATTCCCACAGCGCCCTCTATATTTCTTGCAGTCTCCTCCACGCCAACCTTTGTGCAGGATAGTTAACACTGATTGAGAGGATACTTTACCTTGTAGACGTCGTGAACAGTCGTTAGTTTGTCGAACCGTATATACAATGAATTCAGCATGTTGACGATGTCGATGGGCCTACACTTTGAACAAATGTTCGTGAAGGAGACTATGTCGCTGAATAAGATGGTCACAAGTTCATATTCTCCTGAAAATTGTTACAATGATAGAGAAACTTACGGATCTGTCACAAAAACCTCTGTCCCATGTTTCGGTAAATTCTTTGGCAGAAATGTAAAAATATTTCCCTCGTATGTAGCAAATTTGATTATATAAATAGATTCAAGCCCTGGTAATATAATTTGACAGAAACTTGACATGATGTTACATTTTAAAACCTATAGGACGTATGTCTGGGAAGAATTTATCCAAACACATAGGAAAACAGGTATTTTGAACAGCATTGATAGAGGCTGATTAAGGTGTTCTGTTTGCCTTTGGCAGCAGTGTCAGGCAAGCCATATACTCGGCCCAAGTTACATGCAACAATTTCCATGTGCTGTTTGGTGCTGGAGCCTGGCGTTTGATATTGATACTGAGCTGGAAAAGCCACTAATAGGTTAGTTTGAAGCTTCCCCGTTATCGTAAATTGAGATGCACGCTGACATTTTCTGGGAGTGCCGGAATACTGGCTTTCGAGTTTCATGACAACTTTCGTAAGCCCTCAATTTTTTTGTAGACGTCCCGAATCCTCTATAGGCCCTAGGCCCTACCCTTTTGCAGTATGGCTAAATTTTGACCAAACATAAAAGATTTAACCCAAACCAAATAGCGCCCTCCATACCAAGTGGCCTCTATCGAGAGTTCAGTGGGTAGAGTTCATAAAGGTTCTACAATGAACAACTTTACTCGATTGTGAAAAAAATGGACCGGTAAAAAGAATTTAGTCAGACACGATGCCTGAATTCGGCTGATATGTGACTTGGTCGAATTGGCAACTCACCGGCCTCTACCTTCTTGCCCTCCCGGAGCTGGTCGGCCACCTGCCGCGGCAGCATGGAGTGGAGCAGCATGTCCGTCTTCTGCTTCTCCGTCTCCAGGGCCTGCAGGGCCGTCCGAAGCTCCTCTTTCTTTTGCTCCAGCTGCTTGCCCAGCTCGATCTCGGCCAGCCGCTGGTGGTTAAAGAGGATGAGATCGCGGGTGACGTCATGGAAGGGGATGTCGGACAGGTGGAGGTTGCGGGCCTCCAACTCCTTTAAGCTGGCCACGCGGGGCGAGCAGATGTAGACCATGGCGTCTAGCGACTCCATCCACACCATCTGACCTGCGCACCGGGTAGGAACAGATCAGGGTATATACAATATCTGTGACCGAATTATTTGTTTAAGTTGGCATTAGGGAAATGAACCCTTTGCTGTGATGTATTCCTTACTGTGGCATACTGCTTCAAATTGTCAAAACATGGGTAAAAGTTTGAGGGTTCGTATTAAAGTCAAACGAGGAGCTCTGGACTTGCAATTCATGCCATGTCCTTTGGGTCGCATTTGCATGTACATGTGTTGGTATACTTTTAAATTAAGGGTATAAAACACGCTTGGCTATGGTAATTCGTCACCGTTTTCACAATGAGAAACAACAGAAGCAACAAAAGTTTCTCCTTTTTCAAAACTGCAAAAACTATACTACTTTTCAACAACTTAATTCAGTAAAGAAGCCTTCAAATGACTCTTTGAGAGGTAAATTTGTACATGTACCTCTTAATTTGAATGAATACAGGGGTTTACAAGCTGGAATTAATAAGTAAGATGCGCGTCCTTTCATAAACACGGAAATCCACATTGCTCCTCCAAACCATTCAGAGTGTCTTCCACGGGGAAGGAGCGCTGGTGTTTACGCGCGCGCAGTTGGGTTATTCTATAAATTAGGCGTCCAATTCTTTTCGTGTTCCAGTCACATCTCACATTATGATTTTGTTTGTAAGTTCAGAACACATTCTGTAATTTCCAAGAGTGACAAAATAAGGCGAAATTACCTGCCAAACAAATAGAAATAGTTTGAAATCAATTTCATTGAAATTTCCATATCGAATTACACAGGTCAGGCGTAACAGGACACAAAATGCCACACTATTAGATCCTCAATTTACAAAATGACAGCTGAGAATTCAGCTTTCCAGGCAATACGTTTTATACGTGTTCCCGGGACAGGAGTGTTCGCATCTCTTCGTGAAAACGCAAATTGGGATGTTTGTCCCTGGCATCATCAGTGTAATTGAGAATTTGTGATGTTTTGCTGACGAAAGCATGTCAAAAAGCAAATTAAGAAATAAGGAGAAATCGAAAAAAATGTCATATTTGACGCGCCCGTCCCTTCGTGAAAACGGCGACGAACTGGAGCATACACTCACTCTAAGGCGTGAAACTTTCGAAAGTCGTGACTAACTGCACTTACATGTCATACTATGTTCCTGTTTTTAGAACATAATTGAAGCAGAAAAGGAAGGAGTTCCAAATAATGGGTTCTAAATCGCACCGCCCAAGTGAAACAATAACGCCCGATCGACTGACAAAGAACACCTGCTTTGTGGCTTTGTACAGTGCATTGTGGGGGTGTGATGCTACAGAATATTCTATGAACACCGGGAGTGATATGTCATCACAAGGATGCCAGGGTCTGCTTGCTAACTGCTTTCAACATTGTCGGATAAAAATCAATAGAAAATCCACATTAAAGCTCCCTATCTAGATATGAAGGCATCTGCGTCTCACAATATAGGGCCTGAAGATGCTTATTAACTTAAGGCGATGCTTTATACTTGGCCATTTGATGACACAGTCAATGCTGATAGCATTGGGCGTTTATTTTACACTGCTGCTTTGTAGTGTAATGACCATCCATGCGCGTGGTGGGTGTGTTTTATAGTTCAGGCAAATTACACACTTTAAGAGCTGGCACGAAGTACAAATGCTTTCAACAACGCACCCATACATGCATGGGTTTAATATTGAAAATCGAGTTGCCGCTTCTTTATAACTTAAAAACACACAGAAGAACCAGCCCGAGGATTTCGATTGAAAAAGGTTAAAGAGCCGAAGCACAGATTGAGAGTGAAGAAGATTGTAATGTATTGCAGGAAACGGCAATTTTAAAGACAGCATTGCCTCAATTTGGTATGTCAAACTTGGTATATTCCTAACCTCGTAGTTGTAACATGGGCTGGTCTCTACCCCACTCGGGCGTCATGGAATCCCGCCTCGTCTGCAGCACAAACTGCATGTTCTCGAACTTTTGTATGCTCCGGATGCTCCAATCTATCTGGGGGTGGATCAGATCGAAGAACGCGCAGACCGGGTTGCCCTCCAGGCTACGAAGCCGGGGCATGATCCGCTGGATGTGCACGCCGGCCTGCATGATCATGAGCTCCCCGTCGAAGACCAGGTGGTAGGGGAAATACTCGCAAAAGACCTGCTGCGTCATCCAGAGCTTCTCCGGGTAGGTGGGGTTGAAGCTGCCGTACAGGTTGCCCAGGGAGATGAGGGACTGGATCTTCTTAGGGGAGTAGTGGTTCAGGGGCTTGGTGCCCGCCTCCTTGTGCTCTTCAATGTTGCGGAACACTGCTTGAACATCCTGCGGATGCAAACAACAATGTTCAAGACTTACAGCGGTATTCTAATGCATTCAGCGGTCACGTGGACGGGGCAAAACATAAGAAAGATCATTAGGGCCTAGTACGACAAGGAAGTAAGTATAAAAGATGCAACATGACTGAGTGTAAAGTTAAAAGATTTACCGTTTCATCCTTCAGACGAGGAAGCATGGAAGGAAGAATGGAACAGGAGATGTAAAAACAAGCCTGATTTTCAGATTCTTTATTTAAACATGGAAATAAACTGTGTGGTACCATTTGTTCTTGAAGGGAAGAAGAAGGTCGACTGCATTAGGAAGCAGAAGGTCTCATGTTTTGTTTCTCAACTTGAGTATCTTTGCACAGCCACTTGTTCTCGTGTATATTTGTCAAAGTGCAAAGTGAATTTGTACTAAAAAGAACCAATCCACCTAATTAACATGGTGCAGGAGCCCAGATGGCGCGTTCATCCAGTGTTAATGGTGTTAGTAGAAAATGGGGGGCAAACGGGATATTTGTCTACGGGCTTCCAGGGTTCCAGCTACGTCTATTGTCAGCACGCTCCCCTGTATATGCAGACGGTGAGGATCCAGACCTAGCTACATGTAGTCGGAAGATTCAGACAAAGCCTATAGGCCTACTAATGGAATGGAAGCCTCAAAATTAGGCAAAAAATTATGAGCATCGGCTTAAGTGGTCTGGAAAAGAAAGCACCTTCCCAAATCGCGAGGAGACGGCGAGAAGGAGCGAACACTCACCCACGGATAAGGCTGCCACTCCTCAAACTCATCACCCACGGGAGAGCAAGCCTGTTCGCTCACCCACTGTTCTACCGTGGTTGGAGGAAGGGGTTAGGAGCAGGTGACGTAGGCAGCGGGTCAAGAGGGGAGAAAGAGGAAGGCTAACAGTTAAGGGGAAGGTAACAGGCTACAAGCAAAAGAAACCACACGCCGAAGAAAAGGAAAGCACTCAAGTCATAAATCAAGCTCTAATCACTCTAGTGCATCTGGAAACTGTTAAAAAGTTGAAATTAGTACAGGAACGAGAACATGGGGAGGCAAAGGAAGTATTCCTAGAGCACACACGCGGAGCTGCAATGGTTGGTTAATTGACTGCAGTTAGCTACCAAACTAAAAATCGCTGGCCAGGAACTACGTCAGCTAAAACCGAGAGGAAGGCAAGGGACGGCAACGACCAATTCTTTACTGGAGACTCGATATTAGTTAATGGGGAATTTTTCTCACACAAAGTACTTCCGTCAGATTTATCGACAAAGGAAGAATAGTTATTTTAATCAATTTCTGGCATTTGGAATTTGCTATTTTTGTCTAACTCTGGCATGGACACTACTACAGTAAAACAGGAAGATCTAGAACTGAAAGACATAGGGTAAACGAAACTTGTGAAAAGACGTGGATTGAGTGTCGAAAGACTAAGTGTGCTAGGACATACCTCCTTGTTGAGTTGCTGCTCGCTGTGCTTCCGTGACTGCGCCACAAACTTGGGCGGTCCCTCGTCGATTTTGCGGATACGTCTTTGGTAGATGGCGAAGGTCACGTGCTCCTTCTTGCCGTTGCGCTCCTCCTCGTGAGTCTCGTCTATCACCTCCATCTTGAGCTCGCTGTCAAAGAATTCCTTGGCGACTGCGCGGACAATGCCTGGCAACGTTTATGCACCAAAACTGACTGTTATTTCCTGACACGGCCTATTCTTCTGTTTTTAACCTAGGCATTTAAACAAGGTTTAAAAAAGTGTTCCTAAGGCGTCTTCGTTATCGAATTACCTCTGAGATCTGGGTTGAGGGAAAAAAATGACACTGACACTCAGAAAACGCGCACGGGTCGCGCAGACAAGATTTATCGGGTGTCTAAAATTACAGAATGTAACTCGTCGTCATTCTAGAAAAACAGGGAGACATTTTTGAGGAGCTAGATCTATCTTATCAGCTTGAAAACAGTCTTTTAATATTTAAGTATAAAAAGTGTCTGTTTCCGTGTTGCTACGAAACAGTGATGATGAAATTGGATATCTCAAGTGAAGAAACACCTTGTTCAAATTCTCATCAGATATTCGATGTAACTTAATTAAAAGAGGAAAATGCTGACCGTATGACAATGCTCCTAAATACTTTATATTATACAAACAAAAATGAAGTCATTTAAATGTGATAGTTAAAACAAGCCCTCATTCCGCAGACACTGAGACTAAATACTTGCGCAATAATGAATGAAAATAATACCACAAACATATCATGAAATCCTGCATTGATTGACTTGAATTCGCACAATTTGAGAAATGCCCTCGTACATGTTTGCATTTCTGTTGGCCGATTGACGTAGGCAATTTAAATCCTCGAGATTTCTCCTCAAAATATGCCGAATGCAAAAGCTGGATATGGCCGTATTTATTCTTTTCATTTTCTTTTCTCGTTTCCAGTAGAAATGTGAATGACCGCTTCTATGTAAAGGGAAAAAGATGGTGCAGGAATTATTAAAAGATGCGATGCTACTGTATTTTCCCATCGATTTCTCCTCCCTAATGTGTCTGCTTCAAATACCACACTTAAGGTAGGTCTGTTATGTGAATCACGGAACAGAAATCGATCTCATCAGAATGCCCGCAAGGTGTCGGATGTTGGATTCGAATCATTTTATTAAATCACGCGGTTTCATGTTTCGTCCCAAAAATATGGGGGAGAGAGGACATTGTTTCTTTTCACACATCGAAGAAGGGGTAAGGTTTCTTCCAAATTTCACCACGTCTCAATAAGTGTTAAAAGTGGTTAAATATGTTGGGCAAGATTATTTAAAGGACATCTGCAGGATTGTTTTATGCTTCATTCATCGGTTAGTTTGGGCAAAATGTGACCAACCTTGGGAAGAAGTTTCCAAAGAACGAAGCGGTCGATACTGTTACTAACATATGACAAAAGACACTGAGCGTCTACCGTGCATATGTTGCTCTTTTTATTGAGTCCAATTTATTTTAATGTAAAATAATTTATGTTAATAGTCTTTGTATTACTATTCAACATGTTGAGACAAACGTTTCTGCATCCTTGCCAGCAAACACTAAAACCCGATATTCATGCTAAATCCTAAAATATTTCGTTTTAGATTTTTTTTTTAATTCAAATTAACCAATTTGTGAAAAAAGGCAACAAACATTAACGACATGAGTCAAGATTATTTGTTGTTCGACGTTGCTTCGCCCTAACCCCTGAGTGGTAACGCATTGTGCGTAATTTTTCACAGAGCATTTCAAGTGCATTCCTTCTAAATCAATGCCAAATTGTGTCAATGTAAATAAAATAAGGTGTTGTCTCCCGAGCTTAAGCTTTTTACTTAATCTATGCAACCAGGCAAGCGATATCGACCAATTTAATTGGACTCAAGTCATATGCTGTCGAGTTTGCGTTCAAGGGCTGTTTGCTTCCTTAATAATGATCGCGTACCAATGTATTTGTTGAGATGACCTCTTTGTTACTTTATCATAATTTATACTTAATTTACAGTGTTTTGACAATATGAATTCATTTTAATATATTGCTAGCTTTCACAATTGCACATGTATTGTTTCAGTGTAAATTTGATAACCGATAGACAAAAAATGATATATATTTAACAGTGCATGCATTTTAAATTTTTAATTAAATTTTTATAAATTTGAATTTTTGGGGACAGCATGTCTCAAACGCAAACATATTTCTAAAAATCATCACTGGGTTAGGAAAGGGTAATCCGACAATATGTAAATTGCTTCGACTTTTGCCTGCGGCCGGTGAGACTTAGCCTCTTATCCAGCTGTTTATTAGATTAACGGGCCCTCACTTGCAATTTACATTGTAATTAGACGTAAAATGCCCAGATAGTCTCATAATCTACAAGGCTAACGGATATAATTTGTTATCTGGAAATTCAATTTCACCTCTCCATTACTCACAGAGTTTTCTAGAAGAAAAAATCATAAATAAATTAATAAACAAAATAAAAAAATAACAGTTCCCTCAGTTGCTAAAGCAAGAGGGCGTTCCCTTTTGAATTAGGTGCATGTTCCAGCGCCATTTGAACACCGTTTCACATAAGAAATCACTGCAAAGTTCTACAGAATGAGGATAACAGAACTGAACAATTTTCTATTGTTCTGTGTCACGGTTAAAAGCTCTTTCACTTTACATCAACAAACAGGATCCTTCAAAGTGGAAAATGTTACAGAAGTCAGAGTAGTAATGACTCGAGTCAATGACTCGGCTCGACTCGAGTCCCTCATCAAAAAACCCGAGACGAGCGAAATTTATTAAGACTGGAGTCTCCAAAATAAAAGAAGACGTTTTTGTGAAAAAAATATTTGACTTACAGTGCCAGTTTATGTCATGTGTTGTTATTATTATTGAAGGTAAAATGTGGTCTGCCACATTTAGCCCTCTGAAATAAGCATCGATTTGAACAAGTTTGGGAACTAGAAAAAAAATCCAAATCAGTGAACAACCAATGCAGTTATGTAACAATTTAGGATCGGAATTCAGTGATGTCATAAACTTGTAAAATAAACCGTCTGAACTTACATTGGGAAGGACAAAAATGAGTTGTGTTACGCAACGCAACATGAGATTCAATCAAATATTCAGTGTACGTAGAAAACACTATAGGCGTTAACTTAATGCCATATCAATTTTTTAAACAATTATTTTGATAGAAAATGAATGCTACGTTTGAGTTGTGTTTTTTCTTGGGACACATAGTATTTTTGTTCGACTCAAAACATGAAGTACTTCTTCACTGCTTCATTACCTTCCAACTTATCTGAAGAAAACTCTACTTTTTTTAAAACCTGCATATAATTACATTCTTATTTTCAGCAATGGGGTCGTTAAGAGATCGATCCTTTCGTAAATGAAAGTTACTTTGTGTGTAGCCTTTAGGGAGTCTTTTCATTTTTGGTTTTCTAAGATCCCAATTTTGCACAGTGCACTCGCAGTCATATATTTAAATCCAGAGCTATATTCTCCTTTCGGGCAGAACAAGGTATACTTGCTCTCTCTAAACGACAAGCCATTGGCGTTTTCAGCGGGGGGGGTGTACTCGAGCCATGTTGTCAATTTAGTTATTCATTATTCTGCTTTTTAGAAATGACAGCCCAACAAGCATTTTACAATCGTTTCTTCCAGCTTTCTTATAGGGTAGGGGAGTAAGGATTCTTTTATGGATTAGAAATTTGGACAGCGGTTAAAAATTAAATTCCCATTTTGCCCCCCCCCCCCGACTCGAGACCTGGATACGCCATTGGGAATATGAATGCAATAGACGTCTTGGATGTATTTCTTTTGGAGATGACATGAAAAGTGCTCGTTTATATTCATTCATTAAGTTAGCGTGACACTTATAATAATCAGCTACTCTGGTGGTTTGATGAGTCCTCATTGATTGTTGATTTGGGTTGTAAAATACTTTCGACGTTATTCGGATGATGGATGCCTTTCATTATTAGTCATTCTAAACAAATGACGATAAAAATAACGAAAACAACGTGCACAATAAATCTGCTGGTCTCAGCCGTTTTGTCTGCGTCCATTTATCGCACACATGCCTCAACGAAAATCAGTCAGCGATCTTACAGGTTTCTATAGGCCTACATGTATTTATTCACCCCACTCCTATTCGTCAGCGTTGATTCGCGGTTGAGCAAAAAGCTATCATGTAATTCATCAGGGAGAAATGCTCCAGTTTTTCTGCAATAGAGGTTTGAAGTTGGTGTTGACAGCTGTATGATGTACAGAGATCTCAAAAC